TTCCCCGTGTTTTGCAAGAGTGTGAAAAACGGAATCACTCGACCATTTGCCTCCCAGCCATTGGGACAGGTTGGTAGCCTCTCAAGGCTAAATTCTTAGGTGTCCCTTTTCCCTTTGATGTCCTGCTGACGTGAATGTAGTTGGTGCTGAAACTGAGTAAGGGCAGCTTCCTCTCCCCAAGGCACTCACTGAGGGAATGAGCAAGACATTTGCTCTCTAATATGGAGGGGACGAGAGAGGAAGGGAAAGGAGCAATGAGAAAGAATGGCCATCCCTCCTTCTCTGTTCACCTGTTCCTTTCTCTTTTTTCCAACTCTTCCATATCCCCCATTATTTAGTACTTAACCTTCCCCTCCATACCCTCTCTATGGAGAACATCAGTGCATCAACTCCCACCTCCCTGTAACTGACTCCCAGATAAGCATTGCCAAGCCTCTTCTCTCAGCTCTTGAGCAGTGGCTGTGCAGGTTGGCCTTAGGGCATCTCTGCACAGAAACCTTTCAATCACCTTAACCCAGTGGGTTCTAATGGGTCAGAAACTCAACTCATCGCCTTTCTCTTCTCAGCCTACTTGCTTCTTTCAAGTTTGTTGTTTTCCTCTAAGTATATAATGATTGTGTAATTAATTCTCCACATACAAAGATGTGCTTTGGGTTTATCATTACTAAGGTTATGCTCTTTGAGCTCTTTTCCCAGGAATCTGAGTTCTATACATTGATTAGGAGTTTGTGCTTGGTCTCCCTTAAGAGGGCTGGTCAGGGGATGCAAATTCCCTCAGGCTTGAAGTGGAATGGAGCTGACCCGTTCAAGAGAGGGACCACTCGGCCCTGGATTGATCATTCCATTGGTAGTAGGCCCCCAAAAGTTAAGCCTCAATAAACTCACCCATCCTTGTCACTTTCTGGACCTTCTTCTAATCCCGTGTCTCACATTTTTATTTGTGTAATTCCTCTTAAAGTTTCCAAAAGCAATGCTATGTCTGCTTTATTACTTTCCTATTTCTAAAAGTATAATCTAGTGCCCCTTTATGCTTTCATTCTCCCGTAGTGTCATCCAACCCTAGCACATCAGCCAACATGTTTATCTATCTATCTATCTATCTATCTATCTATCTATCTATCTATCTATCTATCTAT